GCCTGCTGTGTTCATCCAGCTCTACACTCTGTTGATGATTCATAATTGTTTATCTGTAGCTAGAGTCTAATATCTGTAACACCTCAAATAATTAATATAAATGTAAATTTAAATTTATATTTCCCTGAGTAGTGTGTTGTGGAGACAGCAACTTCCCTTTTAGTAATTTCCTTCAATCTCTCAGAACCTCTTTTGAAATAGTGATGTCAGTGTGTATTTATAAACTTTATTTATAAAGTTAGATGTTGATGATTCATAGATGGTAGGAACTGCAGATGCTGAAGAATCTGAGATAACAAGGTGTAGAGCTGGATGAACACAGCAGGCCAAGCAGCATCAGAGGAGCAGGAAGGCTGACGTTTCGGGCCATTTCTGAAGAAGGGTCTAGGCCCGAAACATCAGCTTTCCTGCTCCTCTGATGCTGCTTGGCCTGCTGTGTTCATCCAGCTCTACACCTTGTTATACCAGCCTGTGAGTTCCGTTACTCAATTCAGGCCTAGTGGGACTTTTTGCAGTTTCAAGTCCACATACTGGCAGCAGCTACAGTGTACAGCTACAGCTTGGCAAGCACATATTTGCAGTGTGACTAAAAACACCTATTTCTACTTGTATAATACGTCTCCCTATCTCGGCTAATTTATTGCTGAACCGCTCATCCATTCCTTTGCTATCTCTAGACTTTATGCTCTCCTGGATGATCTCCTGTATTCAACAGTTTGTAAACTTGAGGTCATTTCATCTAAACTCCTGATGTCTATGACTTAGCTTGATTCAAGACCCATTCACTTCATTCATATTCCTGTGTTTGCTGATCTGCAATGGATCGCAATCAAGCAACAACTTGATTTCAAAATTTGGATCTTTGTTCGCAGGTCACTTAATGGTTTCACTCTTGTGTACCTCCCTATCTATATTAGTCTCCTCCAATCCTACACCTAACCAAGGTGCCTATGCTTTTCTAACGCTCAGTTTTGATTTCAATCACCCCACAATTGATGGCCACACACCTTCAGATGTCCAAACCTGAAGCTGTGGAATTCCCTCCCAACATCTCTCTCCTTCTCTACCTTGCTTTCATCTTTTAAGACATTCTTTAGAACTCATGTCTTTGACCAAGCTTTTGGTCACCTGACCTCAACTCCATGTGGGCTGGTGTTATTCATTTGTTATATGATTATTCTGTGAAGTGCTTTGGGACAAGTTGTTGTTATAGTGTATATCAGTGAAACATTTGTTGACTTTGCACTACCATTCAAAAGATTCAAGTTCAGATCTTGATCCAGATTAATGTAATTACAGTTAATATGCTACTAATCTTTGGATGCTAACTAAGCAGAGAGTTGCAATGATGGAATTAGTCATCAGCATGTAAAGTGGACACATCCCAATAAAAAATTTATCAATATTGAACAAGCTCTGTGGCAACAGTTGGAAACATAAAGCTGAAAACGAGGAAAGGAGATTTTCTCCTCAATCTGACCCTTTACACAATACATATGTGATTATTTGAAGTTATGACATCAATCTTATTCCCTATCCAGAATCTTAAAAACTATTTTCTTAATTCTCATGAAAAATTGTCAGACCACACTTATTAACTATCCTACCAGAGGAAGAAATGCAGAAGCTCCAGTCTAGACCAGGGATTAATTATTAAATTGGATAAACAAGACAATCAATGATTCTCTAATATTTCCTTTCGCTAATTGTCTTGAAAAACTGAAGATGATGGTGGAATGGAAATTTTATATAGAAAGGGTGTGTCACACAGTGGAATAATGAATGCATTTGTTAACTTGCACAATTTATTTATTTTGATCTTTTTTCAGATTTATGTTAATATTGAGTTTTATATTTTATTCTTCTTTGTTTCTTTTTTCTTGTTACTTCTGACTTCCATTTCTTCTAGATGTGAATTAAGGTAGGAGTCAATTTTTTTCATTAAGTCTAACTTATTTTTGTCACTTTCACAAATTAAGCTCATCTTGGCTGTCCTTTTATTTTGTTTCAAGTTGCTCGTATTCTTCAGTGCTGGCTGAGACAGAATGGTCTGCTGCTTTTTCATTTGTCACCAATTTGTGAATCCACACTATGTCCTGGCCGCAGCAATTACTGGTATTATTGACAATGTTAGTGAAAATAAAGGCAAGAAGGGAAAATTACGCTTGTAAACTGGTTTGGAAGTGGTTTGAATTGGTCCTCATGGAAGAAATAGTCTGAGGAAAGCAAAGTTATTTAGATAGGCCAAGAAACTATGCTTTGACTCATAGGGGCTGACTTGGGATGTACAGATGGGTGGGAGTGATGAAGGCATGAAACGGTGAAAAGTGAAGGATGCAGAGGTGATTGAGCAAACGCTCCAATCTTGACTATCAAACGTCTACACTCTCAGTCCTCACCTTTACATCTTGATAGAGAAATCTCACTTCTGTTCGTTCCTGGATTAAGAATGAATTATTTTTGTAAGTGCGTTTCTAACATGAACAATTACTTCAGTGTTACATTAAAAAAAGGTTGTAGTTACAAAAGGTATAACTTAGGTCAATTTGGAACTTATTGAGTCAATGTTGATGCTTGGCAACAGCTATCCAAACTTTGGCTTAACTTACATCTCCCTGTCTCTTTCCGAACTCTGCCTTTTCTGTGTGGCCGCTGCCTGACCGTCCCGTGCGGGAAAAAGACAACCTGAAGAATGAGACGTCTCGGAAGCCTCTCTGCTCCTATGATGCTGCTTGGCCTGCTGTGT